GGAGGAGCAAAACAAAACAGCACTGAACAAATGGATAATGAATAGGGTTTACAAATGAAATTTACAGTTGATTGCTCTAGAAGAATACATTCAAAGGTTATTACTTTCTATTGTATTTCGTAGTTTGCTGCTAAGCAATCATGACATTCCTTTATTTGAACACTCAAGTAACAGTCCTATAACCTTGATCAATGACAAGGGAGGCAAAATGGTGTTATGATATCATTATCATCATATACAGTATGTACTGTTTATATACAGATGCACACATATACTCTCCAAGTTTCATTACAAAGATACTAAAGGAAAGAGCATATCATTTAAAATGTGAAGGCTTCTGTTGTATTATTTTTGGAGCTCGAGACACATAGGGATTGATTTTCTAAAGGCATATAGGCTGTTTACTTTGGAAGGGAATTTTCAGTTTGCAATGGAATTTTCTCTTAGTTTAGTGAATATGGTAAAAATTTACTTTCGAAGAAATACCCAATCAAGTGCAAAGAAAACAGAAAACAGTATTTTCACTTGCACATAACTGGATGACAGAAGTCAGCCAGTCATACAGTCAAGAGCTTCACCTCATTCATTAAGCTAAGGCAAAACTCCCCCTCAAAGTGAAAATTCTCTTGCAACACTGAACAGACTATTTGCCTTTAGTAAATCAACCCCAGGGGGTTTATGAGTCAGGGAAAACATAATGGAATAAAAAAATTGAAGGAAAAAAAACTGAATTAGTCCCCATGTATTTCCAAAGCCACAACTTGCCTATTACTTTGTGAGAGGAGTACTAGAGATTATCAAATTAAAATATTTCTATATTTCTGGTCTCATGTATGAAACATTGTTCAAAAACTGACATATGTCACCATGGGGAATGACACAATGGCCTTCCTCCCTCATATGAGCACACTGCCCAGAAACAGATATAAGAAATCTTTAACTATTCATCTTCTTGATGTTTCTTGAGGATTATACATACCCATCCTCTGGTGATCAAAAATAAGTAAATTCTATACTGTGAAGAATCTCACATCTGTAATATATCACAAGGAGATAAAATTTAGACTTAATTAGTTCCATTAGGTGGAATAAGTTTTATATGCCATTGCACTAGAGCTATACTTCTCCAACAGACCTAGCAGCTAGAAACCCCATGGTCACTGGCAGGTGAATTATACAGATTTATGAAACCAGCAGTTGAATACGCATGTGTCTCGCAATCAGTTTAAGATACATTCCAATCACAAAGTCCTCCACTCTCTTGAAACTGCTTTAGACTCCAAATCACAGTTTAATAACCCTCAAAAAAAGGAAAACTGCATGGTGTAATATGTAAAAACTCCAAAATGTGCTCTAAATCCAATAGATGGTGCTCACATTTAACTCATATGTCACTTGTATATACTCTTGCCCTCCTCTACCAAAAATGAGTCTTCTGAAAAAAAAAAAAAAAAAAAAAAAAAAAAAAAAAAAAAAAAAACACAATTTTCTCCAATCTTTGCACATCAGATCCATTTTCAAGAATACTCCTCCTCCCTCCCACGAAAGTGTCAAAAGTACCCAGGAAGAATAAATAACTAAATAATGATATACCATAACATAAATCACTCTATCTATAATGCTACTACTCACATTTAGGTGAGCTTACAACATGCCTGTCCCTTTAACCAACTGTGATTCCACCGCATGCAATGTGATCTCACCATGTACTGTATCTCACCCAATTAAAACTGTTTTATGTGCATAGTCAAATCAAATCCTTCTTTAAACTCCTCTTCCCTTTCAGTTCCTACCATATAGCAAAAAGATATGTGGCCAAAAATAAAATAGTGTATATAGTGTAATTTGTGATTGGAACGTATTTTGAACTGATTGAGAGACACATGAGTATTCAAGAGCTGGTTTAATAAATCTGTCTACTAGGTGGAATACCAATATTCTCAGGAATATAAGGACTACATGAGATTAACTTTTTCTCCAAAAGCAGCATCCTATTTCCTTCTGGAAAAATGGAAAAATTGGATTGAGGGCTCTTACCTTGTAAATGTTTTGGTAAGAGATACTGGTACCACATAGGTCTATAAATATAGGGAAGGGCACCAAATGTAAAAAAAGTATAATGTGATTGTGATATTCGATATTAAGGCAGCTGCCGTTTTAAGAGTGACACTTTAGATAAGAAAAGTATAAATGAAGATAGGTGCTAGCCTTACTAGTACGTGCATAAACAAAAACAAAAATTCAAACCAATGAATTCAAATACCCATTTTTCAATCAAGTCCACATATTCAATATACCAAGTCCCAGATACTGTATATGTGTCTATCTCCAATCACCCGTGATCATGGAAATTAACTGGGTGATTATGCCTTCTTAAACACAATGTGCTCCAACATGTGTTTTAAATACATTCCTCACTCACCAGACCTATGTGGCTAGCAAAGCAGGCTGCAAGTGCTAAACATCACATCCATCATATGAGATGACTGGGGTGAATCCACTGAAGAATCCACTGCCAATTCCCATTCATTCAGAACAAGCACTCAAAGAGCCCAGGGAAAGTGTTTATAGTGTAGTAAGTATTTATAATACAAGGAGATATAAAAAGTGTCTAGAGATTGCACTCACATAAAATGTGCCAGAGCAGGCACCAGCATAGACAGCTCACTTGTAAAGGACCTTCACTTAGCACTTTCCGCTCATACCATGGAGCTGGTGTGTGGTCCATGACAACGGAAATTATGTCGAAGGTGGGCCCTGAAATGATGTCAATGGCCTTGTATCTCCTTGTATAATAAATGATGGGGTGAGAAAAGATGAGAAAAGTATATAAGTTAAGTTCTATTTTAGTAAATTTTAATGAAAAAAGAAATAATAGAAAAAAAAAAATAAGAATATAATAGTGACAGCTGACATTGACAAGAAATTCTATGAAACAAAAAAATATAACTTTACATTTATTGAGCAATTTGCTTAGAATGTTCTCTCCTGGTATAATATAATGGCCCCATAACATTTAACACACAAAATTCACATAGGGTTGATCAACAAGATACAGCATTTCTTTGTGGATGTTCAACGAGTTATAATACTTGTGCTAATTTCCATGCAGATGTGAGGGTGGTCATTCCAACATACACCAAAGTAGAAAATAATGGAAATAATGGTAATTTTACATTCTCAAAAATATTCTAACCATGAAAAATTAGAAGCAGCTACATTGTTTAAAAGGTGCCTGTTAGAAAAAAAATAATATTTAATAGTCATAAGAGTATCTATTTATACGTTCAATTGCATGTACAATAGAAAAGAGACCAAAAAATAATTTTCATAAAACATGACTGGCTGGTAAGTACAGCAGGTTATTATTAGCCAGTTAAGTGTTCCCAGTTCAGAACGCACTCATGTGTGTAGCTGCTGGGATCTGTTGTTGATTTTTCAGCAGAGGTCACAAACTGTCTAGGTAGGCTGCTATACATACTGGTTTTCAGCACTCACAGTTGTTTTTCTTGCTGCTTGTTAATTGTTTAAAAAAAAAAAAAAAAAACTACTGTATTTTAGTTATCTGCAGCTATTTTTTTTTAGATGGAATTTGGTCTATAGCTCATCTTCAGGCAATTACTAACGACATTCGTACCTCTACCTTCCATTGCTCTCTAACCCATCCTGCAATTTTTTTTTCTTTTCTTTTTGAACAAGATATATTTACCTTAATCCAACCTCTAGGCCCTTCACCAGCTTGGTTTCCAGGTGTGTGTCGGATGGGGGGGGGGGGGCTAATCCTGATTTGTAGGTATGCCATGATGACCCTTGATAGCCCCATTCGAACAATGTCACTGCTGCAGACTACTCTTCTGGATTCTGAGAGAACCCCACCACTGGACATCCAAATATGAAGTGTACATGTCATGCAGGCAGTCACATGGACTAAAGAAGGACCCCCGCCTCCTGTATACAGAAGAAAGGTGAAGATTCGGAACTGAGCATCAAATGGCCAAATTTTAGGTAAGAAAAAAGGGCAATGCGATATTTTTTTTCATCAGTTAGGAGAGGAGTACGGGAAGGGGGGGGGGGGGGAATAGGGCAATCCCACAGATCAGCTTTAAGAGAAATTTTAAACATACTATCCAGAAGAGTTGGAGCTTTGCCCAGTCAGCAAAGTCCAGCATATGAAAAGCTTAGCATTCAGGCAAATCAGATGATACTGAAAATTGTATCTTTTTTGGGTGCCTGTATCTCAGACCTGTCAATATTTTTCAGCCTTTTTAAAGTGAGAGAGCCTCTTTAATAAACCAGAATGTTTTAAAAAAAAAGCATTTTTTAAAATTAAAGTCTTATCTATTTATCCCCTGACCAACCTTTTGCTTTGCCTTACTAGCCCTAACTTCCTCCTACTTTGCTCTGACCTCCTTAGTTATTTTTTACTTAGTAAAAAAATTATACTATTCATATGAAAATATTTTTTATTTGAAATTATGTTGATAAATGTGTTAATGCAGTTTAAATACAAAATTACAAAAAAAATTCCTTTAATTTTTTCACTTCACTTTGTTTCAGAAACATAATTTTGATATATTGAGAAATGAATTGTCAAAACAGTATTTAAATCTATAGTAATAAAAGTAATTTTCAAAATATCACTTAAAAAAAAATTTTCTATTGTTTACTTATTTTATAGAACATTTCATCCATATTTGATAGGCAATATTTCCAAAACACCCCCCCCCCCCCAAAAAAAAAAAAAAGTAATAACAGCAAAAACAGTATGAGGGTATTTATAAATGTTTTTACACAACTTTCACCCAGGATTTAAACACTTTCCAATGTATTCTACTATGTGAAAGTTGCCAACTTAATAGGCCTGAAATTTAACAAATATTCTGGTGCTTAGCTAGTTAATATTGGCTGATTGTGTGCACAGCTGCTGTATTTTAAGCAAGAAATGATGGTGATACACCAACTACACATGTCTATTATATAAAAAAAAAAAGAGTACCCACCTGCCTCTTAGAATGCTCACTGTATTCCCCAGGTATGTTGTGAGCACTCTTAATTAAAGTCCTTGCAATATGATAGTAGTAAATACTGATAATAGTAAGTGGAACAAGATAGTAAACCAAAAAAATTAGCACTGCATGGATCTTGGGATGCATCTCATCATTTTGTGGGTATGGAATACAAGCTGTGAAGCTGACATTGTCTGACCCATTGATGTGTGCCACTTCAGAAAACACGGCTTCAGGGACTGCCAAGAGCATTGAAATGATCCAGATGGCTGCAGCTTTTAAGCATGTCCACAGAACAGCACTTGATGTTTGGATATCCATCGGATTTACAATAGCCTTATATCTACAACAGAAAAAAAAACATATATTACACCAAATATTAGGATGATCAGGTCAAGACATGTGTCTCAGTTAATAACTAAAAATGAGCTGAACTGATTTCACAGGCAGTAGGAATGGCTATAATTTCAGGCAAATTTTTGTTAAAGTGTTACTAAACCCAGACCCCTGCGATCACTATATCTGGTCTCCCACAGTACACAGAAATGAAATTATTCTAGTAAATATAAACTGCTAAATACCTTTGCTCATCAGCAGTATATAGCAGTCTTGTGTCTTTTATCAGTGTCCAGTCGAGCACTGGTTAAAGCTTGTAGGAGGAGTTTTCATTCTTCCTATAACTATCCTATGAGGTTGCATGCCCCCTGACCCTCTGTCTGGAAAGTGCTGATTGTCCCTGTGCTGATCACACATGTACACCCCCCCTTTGTGTGTATTGGGAAAAACAAAAAAAATCCTCTCTAGCAATACACAATAAACTGAGCATATGCAGAGGTGTCTCGTAGGGGTTCTGTTACCATCAGCACTAATGGATTGAGGACTGTGGAAAAAGGGGAGGATCAAAGCACAGTGCGACAGGATCAAACAGCTTTTTTACACAATGTGGAGGATTAACCCTTTAGGTTCCACAGTGAGTATATCAAGCATTCTTTACTGCATATACAGACTGATTTTACTGCTGTGGGTTTAGTAACACTTTAATGGACACTCTGGATCTACTCATTGGGAAAATCAAGTTGATTTGTTATTGTAAAGAAACATGATGATGTTTTATATGGCATATACTGTTACTCTAATCTGAGTTTATACTGTAGGGATATATTATTTTATTATATAAAATACAGCACAGTGGCTTAACCTGAACCCTAGTGGTGTTGACTATGTCCATATTTTGTCCTGTCCTCAAAGCGGTACATTTTTTTGCATGTGAAATGGGGTTTTGTGTGACATTATGTATTTTTTTATTGTAGGCCTGTTAATGCAAATTGAAATTTGATTTTCAGGAATAACTCACTGTATATATAAAATCTGTCCGAACAAGAGTCTAGTAAACATCCCGGGTATGTAATAAAAATTTGAAACACGAAATCATAAATTATAATTTAAGAAATAATCATAAAAATAATATAAAAAATAATATAATAATTTAATTCAATAATATAATCAAACCAAAAACACTGACATTTGAAATATAGCGCCAAGTTCGCACATCACTGAGCAAAGTCGCAAAATCGTTTTCAGTGTCTGATGATGAATTTCCCCACGAATCATTATCACTCAATTCTGCAAGTAGTTCTAATTTAATCGCTGTTCTCTAGCCGGTCTAAAACCGCTTTTGACCTAAAGGGACACTTTTTGGACGCCATGGACATTTCTCAGTTTCAAGGCAGAAAGAACAGTAAAAATGCAGGCAGGGCACAGGACAAAGCACTAGGGACAAAATGTATGTGAAATGGTTTGATACAGTAATGTTTTACTATGTAATTTTAGTGTATTTAGCGAATGTCACTTTTTGTCATTTTCAAATTTCCCGCCAGTTTCCGTCCCCCGTACGTCCCGACGCTCGCAGGGGACGGAACCCAGATGACAGATGCCGGCATCCACCGGATTACATTGCCGGGGACACTGCAGGAGGGATATCGCGGGAGCGCAGGACAAGGTAAGTGAAGAATAGATGCCGGAGCAGTGCCGCATGGTAAGCCCGAGTGTAGCTCGGGGTTACCGCTTGTGGTACTGAAACTTTACCCAGAGCTACACTCAGGAATACAGTCAGGGAGGTAAATGGTTACCACTTTTTTCCCGGCAGTACTCTGGTCACTGGTTTGAATCCCAATCACGGCGCCACCTGCCTGGAGTTTGCATGTTCTCCCTGTGCCTGTGTGGGTTTCCTCTGGGTACTCCCTCCCACACTCCAAAGACATGCTGGTAGGTTAATTGGCTCCTGTCTAAATTGGCCCTAGTATATGTATGAATGAATGTGAGTTAGGACCCTTAGATTGTACGTCCCTTGAGGGTTAGGGACTGATGTGAATGAACAATATATCTATGTAAAGCGCTGCGTAAATTGATGGCGCTATATAAGTACCTGTAATAAATAAATAAAGTAAGAAACTAATCTTGTATTAACACAATTTGAGAATTATAAAAAGTTATCTAAAACATGTTCTGGAATTTTCTTTTGTAGTGTTTAAAAAAAGACTATTTTAAGGTTCCCAAAAGTCCAATGACTTTTACACTTTAGTACTTTCTTTATTTTACTGAAATTCTTTTAACTTTCAGCACTCGTCTATCTTTTTACTAGATTATTTTACCATTAGTAGAACTGTATTGTTATAGTTTGAAAGTAATGTGTGTCAGCCTTCCAAGCGCACTAGCTCATGACCCTATGATTTGTCACAGATATCCAGATTATTTTTTCATATATTTCAAATAGTATAATGAATACAAAGAATACAAAGCAGGAAAACACTATATATTAAACTGGTCACTTTTTATATTCAAATGCAGTCACCAAATCAGACTCAGATGAGAACCAACTTGGTATCATGGCAAGGCACCAGTCCTGCCTACCATAGTGAACTTTAATTTTTTTGTGTTTCATGGTGATTAAAAAATAAAAAAGTTACAGAATAACTTTTAGTCCTCAACAGGAATAACTTATCTTCATTTCTCTCAGTAAGTACATGCAATTTGCACATTACTGCAATATTTAAGAAAACAAACCACAACACGTTTCATATATGTGCTATAATTCTGCATACCTACCGTATGTTAAAGTATGATTTCATTAATTAATCCAGCTTTCATTCATTCAAAACCCAGTCCAGGTATATTTGAAATATAGAGATACCTATCTTCTGCCTATGCAGAACTGAGCAGAAGGGTCACCTAACTACTACTCTCCTCATTGTCAAATACACTCTTCCATTTGGCCATTGGAAGTCATAAGGAGTGAGAGTCAATTAGCTGCTACTTCTGGGTATTGGTGGGCCGGTGGCTCATTCTCCTTCACCTATTGACAGCACTTGTTGTCTCCTGATTGGCCCGGTGCTGTCAAATAAAACCAGGAAATAAATCCATGGCCCTGTGTGAGCTCCAACAAAGTACTTTTTACCAGGAACCTACAGGGAAAGTACATGAGGTCAGACTACATGTGAGCAGATCATGTGTGGGATCCTACACTAAGTACCATAGCTCCTGATGATTGGTTTCACTGCAGCCCACTAGGTGCATCCTACTCAACATAGAGACTATATATCATATTTGCATGCAAGAGGGCTTCTCATGTTTTTCCCGTTTTCTTGCATAATTTAAAAGAAGCTACTGATAATGTAACTTTGTTTAGACATACTGTAAATGTGAGAGTGATTACTTAATTATAGTCTTATCAATGTGTGTTGATATTTTGAAAGCCTTTTGTCTAAAAATACTTTGTTCTGCAAGTATGTAAAGTGAAATTGTTTATTTTTTTATTTAAGTCAAATTTTTTTTTCACTGTCGAAGTTCAAATAAATTCTGCACCACTCCAAGCTCGTATTTTAGTCATGATTCTCAGGTTCTTCACTGCACCAGGTGCTAGTTCCTAAGGGCTCGTACCACTCAGCATGAATAGTAAGGAACAAATTGAAGCTGTGCTGTGAACATCATACAACCCACATGGAAGAAAAATATATCTGAAATGTATTTGTAAAATATTCTACCCAAATATATTGACTTATATTTGAAATGCTGCAATCATGCTCCTTTTTAAAAATATTTCAAAATATATTTCAATAAAAAAAAAAAAAAATGTATATGTGTGTGTGTGTGTGTGTGTGTGTGTATGTTGAAATGCATTTTTTATATATTATAAAATATATGAAAAACATTTAAAAAAAACATATTTTTTTAAATATATCCTTCACATTTTTTTTTTAACATATATTCTTACACATATTTGTAAATGCATTTCAAAACTGTGGATTTGTATTTGTAAAGACATACAGTATATTTGACATGTATTTTAAAATATATTTGTAATATATTTTGTAATTTCAAATATATATATATATATATATATATATATAGATAGTGATTGAAAAGTAACGCCCTATTTTAAACTATAAATTTTTATATGAAGTTACTTTTTTCTCAATTTTTTAATGTATGTTCCTTAATCTATGACAATTAAATCTGCGATACCATGAATGCCGAAAAGGTATCTCACTATGCTGCAAGATGAAATCTGGCCAGTTGTCAATACCTGGGAAAATATCAAAGACTTGATTTTTATGCAAGATGGTGCTCCTCCACATTTTGCTATTATTGTTTGTGAATAGCTGAATGAAATATTTCCTGGGAGATGGCTGGGTCGACGTGGTCCGCATGAGTGGCCAGCCAGAAGCCCTGATTTAACACCCTGCAACTTTTTTCTTTAGGGTTGGTTGAAGGAACAAGTTTACTCTACGAAACCAAAGACTTTAGAAGAACTTGAACGGTGACTACGAGAAGTTATTTCTGCCATCCCACAAGAGTTTGTGCGAAGAACAGTTGATGCGATTCCCGAGCGGCTTCAGAAGCTGCAGGCGAATGCAATCAAATTTTAAATAAAACTCCATGTTATGTGTGTTCTTCTCATTCATTTTTTTGTAAAAATAATGATTAAAAACTTATAAGATTTTTAAAATAAGGAGTTACTTTTCAATCACCCTGTATACAGTATATATATATATATATATATATATATATTGTAACGGGGTTCGCTCAGCAGCGGGTGTGTGTGACCCCCTGGATGGGTGCACGACACAAAAACACAGGCGAAAAAACAAAAAGGTGCAGTTTATTTACAATATGTACAGAAAAATGCCAAACCAAAAAGAAACATCAAATCAAATCCTGCCCAACTTGGCTACTTACTGTACAAACAGCTTCCCTAGCTATTCACTAGGTACAGCCTGATGCTATACCTAGTTCCAAGTAGTTGGAGGCTAGCCACACAGGCT